CTAATATACTCACTAGCCAGAAGAAAATATATCTGATAGAAATGAGGAGGAATTATCATAATTTTATTAACTTTGGGAAACTAAAGCAAAGCTGAAAATTCTATTAAAAACCTAGAATCTGTAGCCCCATCTATTGGGTACCTGAGAATGTTTCTTACTCAGATACAATCTCCACATACCGCTAAGATAAAAGAAAGTAAGAGAGAAACCTGATACTTGTACACTGGTGAATGACTGCCTACACTGATACTATTTACCCCTCACTGCCTCGTTGGAGGCTTCATTAGGAGTTGAGGAGAAGAAACAAATGATGCTGGTTTTGAATTTAGAGTAAACATTCTTGCAGGGAGGAGGAGAAAGTTAAGCCACATGTTCATAATAGCTGACCTCCTAATAGGGAAGACAGAATAAAGGACCAGGGTCAGGCACCAGTGGGGACGTTCTACTGATTTTGAAAGGAATTGAACTTAATACTCGGTGTAAAGTAATCAAATACTTGCATCCTTTATGGTTTCATCGAGACCAAAGTTTCTATGCCCTGGCAAGATAAGAGCAAGTTACTAATTTAAAACAAATCAGAATTTAAATTGGTCACTAGAAGTAATAAAACACTGGAGGCAGGAGGTGGAAATGAAAGGTGGAACAGACTAATATTCTGCTTATGTAGCATTCTGTCTTTATTCTGTGTACTGCTTTTGACCATTATGCATGATCCTGGATTTCCTGTTAGGTATTTCTCAAATCATGTTACCTCTTGAGTTTTGCCAAGTATGTTCTAGAATCAAATCAACTGCATTAAGCCAAAGTCTCTGGAGGTGTTGGCATTCCAACAGGCTGTTCAGTGGGATTAGCATGCTTCAGTGACATTAAGAAAGTAGCATGACCTGCTGTTGCTTCTGCTTCTTCTTTTTTAAGGCATTGAATTTGATTTCAAAATATGATGGACTACAAAAAAAAAAAAAAAAAAAAAAAAAAAAAAAAAAAAAAAAAAAAAAAAAAAAAAAAAAAAAAAAAAAAAAAAAAAAANAAACTACAAACAAGAAAAGCCTTTATTTCTTCCAGGAATGTCAGCTAAGATCTAAGATACTTGTGTGCAAGTCTCTAGCCAGAATAGTATCCAGAATAGAACAATGTTAATACAATAGATGGTGTAATCCAGCCCTAAATACCAGCTAGTCTGATGATTACAGTCCTCTTCCCATGTGTGTGGACAGAGATGTTGAGTAAATACAGGTGTCCTCTACACTGAGCAGTTGTATAAATCCATAAGCAAATCCTTCCCCTTGAACATTTTTCTGACAAATGTCAAAACTTGACTAGTCATCCCAATTTCCTTTTAACTTTTTTTTTCTTCCTGGTTTTTGCATTTGTTAAAATTTTCTCACTAGAAATAATGTGTTTTATTCAGAATAATTAAAAATTCCACTTTCATAAAGAAGGAATTCTTAAAATTATTCTTTTTTTCTTTAAGAGAAATGGAGCTGTATTCATGAGATCTTGGACTGAAAAAATCTTTCCTCCATGCCCGATTTTTCAGTTCAACCCTGAGTTTCTGCACTGGTCATTCAAAGAAGTTCTCTCAAAATCATCTGAGTCACTAAACACTGCCTACATAGGATGGTAGGAAATACCAATGCAGCAAGCAAGTCCACAGAACTGATGAGTCCTCAAGTCAGAACAACACTTTCTAAACATATTGTGAATAGCAGTTACTTTTAATTCTTTTACTGGTCTCTGACATTGCCATCACAAATGGTAATGTCACCCTAAATCCTTTAATCTTACCGCTGCTAAAATGTAGTGAGCCCAAACATTTGTTTTGGCCATTGTTCTTCCTCTTGAAAAAGTGCCACATAAAAATGAAAATAAAAATGCTTGATTAGGGTCCAAACATGTTCATGTTTTGTAATGACATTTAAAATTACTATAATATACTTGCTTCCTTCAAGAAAATCTAAAATTTTAAAATATGAAAATCTGACTCACTAGAACAATGAGGAGAAAACAAAGATTGAATAAAGCTAAAAGAAAAGTGAAAAATATCATGCCTGCAGGAAAAATTTATTAAGAATCACATTTATTTTAGAAAAAATGAGAATGAGAAAGTCTAATGGCAAAAATGATAGCCTGATTATGTGAATTTCCATACAAAAATTAAAAAAAATAAAGGTCAAAAATTACACAAAATAGTAACCAAACACCCAATACACATCATACACAAAATGATTTCTATATTCAAGATTTCTCACATGGAATTTTATTATTATGTAAGTTCTCAAGAGAATAACAAAAAAAATATGTGTAAGGAATAAGCATGTGGACCCAGGGATTACAGTGGGTAAGGAACTACACTGTGACTAGAAGTACTGGACTTAAAGAAAAATACCTGGAATACAGTACATATGCTATGACATTTTTTTACACTGATAAAAACTGACAGCATAAGACATTACTTAATATATTTAAAGAAGGGCTATTTAAAATATGATTTGTAATGATCCATTTTGAAGCACAATCAATTATCTTCTTTTTTCCCCCCTTTTTATCAATGCAGCTTCCAAATATTCTGGAGATAAAGTAAGGCTTAAGTATAAAATGATAAATGGATAATCAGCTGAATAAGTGGCAAGTCAGATATCATTAACTGGAATTAGTCTCACCATACTATGACTTTTTGCACTTAAGTGTTGCCCCTAATTTGCCTGTATCCAAAAATTGAATAAGATAAGTCCAGTGTACAAAAGGAAGTAATTTGGTTCACCAAACAAGATATTCTGAAAACATAACTCAAAGTAAAAAAAAAAAAAAAAAAAAAAAAAAAAAAAAAAAAAAAAAATTAAAAAAAAAAAAAAAAAAAAAAAAAAAAAAAAAAAGAAAAAAAAATAATAATGCAAAACCTTTGTATAGGTTCTAGCTAAAAATCCTTTTTATCTCAGAGAATCAGTGAACTTCAAAATTTAGTAAATGTACTTAGAAAATATAATGAAACATAAACAGAATTCTTCACAGACACATGCCACAATATTCTCCTGTGAAGTGATATCAAAACCTTTTTTCAAAAATCCTGAAGGAAAATGATTATTTTTTTTAAATCTGAATGAACAGGGTTCACTTTAACCTGAGTTAAGTGTATGTACAGGTTGGAAGAAAAAAAAAAAGAAATTATATGGCAAACATTTCCAAATGCAGCAACTTGAAATCCAAAGGATTACGAATCCTCCCAGGATACCCAAATCTGCCCTTTTTTATCATAAATATTTCCATGTTCTTTCAAGGTTCTCCAGCACAAATAGGGGGAAAAAAGAGATGTAAAAGACTATACCTCTCTAGGATGCTCTTTCAGATACACCTTAGAAATGTTAATTTGTTATGAACATTTAACTCTTGTACTATAAAAGAATTTATTTTGTGACAGATACCAGGTTATGTCTTAGGTGTTTAAAAAGAAAAATTTTAGGACAGAACCTAGAATTTATGGTTTTCAAGAGACAAATCATAAAAACAAGCTTGCCATTCTCTTTGCTTTTCTTCAACTATTGGCCAATTCCAGAGCCACATAGACTGGTCTTGTGCTCTGTCATCCCAGAATTCTCAAAATCTTCCTTTTCAGGCTCTGACACTCAACTTTGATGCCACATTAGAGATTCAGAAGGACTGCACAACTGTATTTCTGACTCCTTCAATTTATTTTTTATATGTTTATATGAAAATTTTGTTGGGGTTGTTGATTTTTAAAAAATGTTAAAACTAACGTCTCCCAAAAGCCATAGAGTTCTTGTACAAGGTTTTTTCTCCTGTATTATAAAACTTTCCAAATTCCTTCATCTTTTCTGATATGTAACTTGCTCACCTTCAGCCATCTAGAAGACATGAACAGTATTTTCAGATACTAACATAAAGGTTTTCAGGACAATGTCTCCTCTCAGGATGTATGAGAAAGACTGAAGATGACACATCTTTTGTCTGGGATGTCTAGTCAGCCGGGCTCTTCCAATTTATTTTTATTTTAAAGATACCTCACTGTCAAGATAGTGTAAACCTGTGCATGTAATACCATGCAAAATGCAATGTAAACTGTAATCCTTAAACACTAAGCACTCTTTCAGTAATTCTGAGTCCCTGCATTTCCAAATCTTTCCCCATGCCTTTCAAGAGGATTTCTTTTTCATTTTCCATTAAGATCATCATTCTTTATTGAGATCAGTAGTTTTTTCAGCTTTTTTAACTTTTTAATGTTTTTTACGCTCATAATTTTAGACATAGAACTGGGTACAGATTAGCCCTGATTAATATTTCAAGCACCATGGAGCAATATGAGTCTTATCTAGAAAAGCTATCTTCTGTATAAATGGATAAAGAATGATTCATCATGCCCTGTGCTTATGTTTGGAAAACAGCCTTAGATATTAGTTAACTAATAAAACTAACATTTGTAACTCTCTTCAGATACAGTAAAAGAGCATGAGTGTTATCTATTGTATATAATATTCCAGTCAATTTACTTGCTCTTAAGAAAAGAACCCTCTGTAACTGTTCCACTGACAAATGAGCAGACGTTATAAATGTGAGATCCAACTGAAGTATGCAAAAGTTGCAGATTTCACTGTCTTAATCAGCTGGAAAATTTTGTAGAAGAATAACATATATAAGCTCAGTAAATAACATTATGTGATTAAACCTTCTCAGTAAGTGAAACTTCTGCTTAAGAATTTGTTTATTGAAAATTTTAATTATTAAATAATTATTTTTAAGTTATGTACGTTCTATTTAGATATTTATCACTTTATTACTTAAGATGCAAATTTTTCAATTGAAATTGTGGAAGATGGAGGATTTTTTCTTTTTCGTTCCTCTCTTGATCATTTTTATGCTTCATCTCCAGTAGATTTATATACAATAACACTATGTGAAAAAGAATGATTTGTGTACTTTTATGTACAATTTTAAAAGTTACAGCCAATTAATAATGTTTATATTGACACAAAAAAGGGAATACTTACAGAGGACAAATCTTAAAATATGTAGATCTCCTGTAAAATATGTTGATCTCCAGTTGTTCTCCTGCAAGAATGGAAACAACGCATGTATAAGACCAAAATATTTCAAATAGACATGTTTTTTTGTGATTCAGCTCATAAGAAAATCTGTATGACTTGCTTCCTCAAAACATGCATTTTTATAAACCATTTGAATACAGCAAAATATAAGCTTTTAAAGAACGATGGTAATACGAGCTGAGGTTCTTTTATAGCACTTTGAATTATTTCTTACCACTTATTCAGTTTGTATTTTTGTTTTGTTTACAGGAGCATGAGTTAAATAACCATTCCCTGGAAATCTGGATGAAGACTTTTACCATGAATCATGCTTGGCTATGACCAGGGATAATGTGTTTATGCATGTCTGGAAAGATCACCCAATATTTCATGGCACAGCATTTACTTATTTTGTTCTATAACTTTTTAAAATCATTTTATATAGTAATTTCTATATGACTGATTCATTATACTCTCAAATTGCACTATTTTATGACTGATAATTTCTTTTATTAGTTATTGCTTGCGTATGTTGAAATTACATATTTTTTCCCATCAGGGACATAGCAGTTTGTAGAAATAGAATGCTTAAGTAGAAAAAAGAACTCCCAAAGGAAAAAAACATAGACATTGGACTAAATCTGTTCAGAAAAAGGACTGTTTCAACTCTTGTTTCAGGAAGCCAAGACTGATATTATTGTTAGTATATCTCTAGGTCATAATTTCCTAATATGTTGTTGCAATGCTAATGAGTTAGAATCCCAGAAATAAATTATATTCAGGAACAATTTCTTTACTTCTTTCAAAGTTTGTGAATGTAACATAAATGATCTGTATTATTATACTATTTTTAAAAGCATATAATGAAAAGGTTGCTTTACAAGTTTGGCAATTTGTGAATGCAAGCCTAGTCACAACTCTAGACTCTGTCACAAGACCCTTCTTTGTTCCATTAGTCATCCAAGATACTCCTCCTCTCAAGAAAACCCTCAAAATTTAACTCAAGGGTCTCACCAAACCCTCATTATCATGCCGAGGCTGGTTTCTTAGCTCAGACTCAGTTTTGTGTGAATTGCTTTTCTAGGAAGCAGTTACATGGAAAATCCTTCACATTCAATGTGCTGAAGTTGTTAGGACTGTAAAGAAATCCACTTGCACATACACAAAAAAGAAATTCCTAAATATGGGCTTATCAAGATCTCCTAAAACTTTACCTCAAGAGAAATAATGGATACATCAAAATTTAATCCTTTTCAAAGTTGTAACGTCAAATTTTCCCATTTTAGTCATACAGCATTGAGAGACTCTAATATTTACACTTTAAAAGCATATTAATTGATTCTAAATTTGGAGTGTATGTCAAAATAAATAAAGAATACTAGAATATTGAATAAATAATCTAAGGCAGAATCTCTTCCACTTCAGCTTAGTAGCACCCCTACAATCACGACACATTAACAGCCATGACTCAGACACATTAATAGGCATACTTTTTGATGGATTCTCTGAATTAAAAAAAAAAAACGTTCTTAACTAGTTGACTGACAGCAAGAAAATAGTTTTTTTTTAAATTGACTCTTAGTATACATTAGTCTTCTATAATTTCGTGCTGGTTTGAATTTGTCTGGATGTCTGGTGCTCATTAAAGGTGCCCTAACACTCCTCTCCTCAGTGGACAGATGAGAGAAAATACAACAAAATGCTCATGGGCTGAGATAAAGACAGAGAGAAACCGCTCACAAATTAATATCATGGGCAAAACAGACCCTCCAAACTTGTGGAAATTAATTTATTTTCAATCAGATCGGAAGAGGATAATAAGGAAATATATCTTAGAAACACTTTCTCTCAATCCCTCCCTCCTTCCTGGGCTCAGCTTTATTCCTGATTTTCTATTTCCTCCTCCCAGTGGCATGAAGGGATGGGGAATGGGGACTGCACTCACTTCTTCACATACTGCTTCTGCTTCTTCCTCTCCATCATTTGTAGGACTCTCTCACTCCTACCCTACTCCAGCACTGGGTTTCTCCCATGGGAGATAGTCCTCCATGAACTTCTCCTATGTGAGGACTTCCCATGGGCTGCAGCTCTTCACCAGCTGTTCCATCTTGGATCCCTTCTGTGGGGTACATACAGAGTGGGGTCTTCCATAGGCTGCCGGTGGATCTCTGGTCTTCCATGGAACTGCATAGGCAGAAGGGAGACAACAGTGAATCCCCAAGTCTTTTCCAAGGACTGCAGTGGGATAGCTCTGGTGCCTAGAGCACATTCTCCCCCTCCTTCTTTACTGACCTTCTTTATCTGCAGGGCTGTTTGTCTCACAACTGATTACTCCACTATTCGCTTGTTGAGATAACTTCTGTGTAAGAATTTTTTTTCACTTCTTATTTTATCCCAGAGGCTCTGCCACCATAACTGATGGGCTCAGCCTTGGCCAGCAGTGGGTCCGTCTTGGAGAATTGTCACTGGCTCCATCAGACATGGGGAAAGCTTCCAGCATCTTCCCAGAAAATCTAACCCTATAGCCCCCCACTATCAAAACCTTGCCATGTAAAGTCATACACTGCTGCATACCTCTGAAAAAACTTCATGATAAAGAAGAAACTCCTACTAGAGTGGTCAGATACTCCTCTAGTACATTCCAGATAAGTATGCCCTAAGTCAGTACAACAAAAGGGACCACTGGCTTCTCGACCCTGTTGTTATGGGTTGACACTGGCTGGATGCCAGGCACCCATGAAATTTCTCTCTCACTTCCCTCTAAACAGAAAAGAGTAAATTTAATTAAGGGTTCATGGGTTGAGATAAGAAAGATCACTCACCAAATACCATTAAGGGCAGAACAAGGTGAACTTAGAGACATGAAATGAATCTATTACTAACACAATCAGAGCAAGGTAATAAGTAAAATAAAGCTCAAAAACCCTCTACCCTTCCCTCTTTCCAGCGGTACCTCCTACCCCAGTGGCACAAAGAGAGAGTGAATAGGGATTATAGTCAGTTCATCACCTGTTGCTTCTCCTGCTGCTCAGGGAGAGGAGTTCTTCCCCTCCTGCACTGTGCAGTCCCTCCCATGGGAGACAGTTCTCCATTAACTTCTTCAATGTGAATCCATCTCACGAACAGCAGCTCTCTGAGAGCTGCTGCAATATGAGTCCATCCCACAGACAACAGTCCTCCCAAAACTGCTTCAGCATGGGTCACTCTTCCATGGGGTGCAGTTCTGTAAATACAGGCTGTAGCAGCATGGGCACAGGACCCCTCTCTCTCCTCAGGTTTCCCGCATGATCACAGCCTCCTCCAGTCATCCCCTGCCCCAGTGTGGCATTCCTCCCTAGACTGCAGGTGGATCTGCATCCTTACGATTTCCCATGGGCTACAGGGGCAAAGTTGCTTCACTGGCATGAGCTGCAGAGGAATCTCAGCTCTGGCATCTGGAGCACCTCCTCCCCCTTCTTCTACACGGACCTTGGTGTCTACAGGGTTCTCCATCTGACATGTTCTCACTCCGCTCTTTTCTGAATATTAAAACTGCACAAAAACTTTTGTTTTTATTTCTTCTTAAATATGTTATCACAGAGGCATTATCACCATCTCTAATTGGCACACCTTGGCCAGCAGCATGTCCATCTATGGAAGCACCAGGGATTGGCATGGTGGAAGGATCCAGAAGCTTCTCACAGAAGCCACCTCTGTGAACCCCTGATACCAAAACCCAGGCCATGTAAGCCCAAAACACCTATAAAGAATGATTAATAGATGCTCTCTTGGTCTGCTTGAACTCCAGATATTAATAAATACTGGAATCTTAAACCAGAAAATTTGGAAATAAATCTTACTCATTTCCTACTGGACTGCCTCACAGAGTGGCTAGGAGCTACTGTATAAGAAGCTTCTATGAAAGATCAAAACTTGGGTGTAGGAAAGGTAACATAAAAAGATATTTACTTTTTACATGTTCATTTTCTAGTATGTTCTTTTAATTCCAATTCTTACTTCAAACTGCATGATTTCACTTGATGTAATGTTTATACACACAGAATTTCATCTGTTATATCTTAGTTTCATAAATCATTGGCAACATGTGTCAACACATTTATAACAACTAATATTACTAAGATTAAATGAAGAAAGAGGCATAACTGAAACCCACAGTATTGAATTATCCATTACAGCTACCTGCTTTTTGAAGTGCTGTGAAAAAACAATTGTGCTATCTCAGGCTATGAGAAAGCAGCATAACAACCTTGCTCAGATTTCCTGTGCCTGCTTCTCCTGTGACACTGAACTTTTCTGTAGGTATGTCTGTCCTGGTTTAGAGGCCAGCAACCAAGCCTCCCACAGCTGCTTACTCATGCACCCTCAGTGGGATGGGAAGAAAATCAAAAGAATAAAAGTGAGAAAAGTTGTGTGTTGTCATATAAGCAATGCTCAGCAGTAACAAAAATCCTGAACTATGAACACTGTTTCCAGAACAAATCCAGAACAGAGACCCATACCAGCTTCTGTGAAGAAAGTCAATGCTATCCCAGCTAAGACCAGCACAACATATTAATATCCTTTCTGGATAAATGGGTAGTAACTTTTAAGATCCTGACAAAAGCCTGAAGTCTATGACACTTCTGAAGCCAGATCATAAAGAAGTAAGAGCAGATTAATGAACTGGTGGGTTTTGTTGAGTGTTTTCCTTTTGCTAGCAGTTTTGATTCTTCTGTTCCAGTGAAGGTTGAATTATTCCATGGCAAGTGGTGGGATTGTGCTTAAACCCCTCAGACAGCTAGTTCCAGGTGCATCAGATACTGCTTTATGTGAAAGCAATAACTTACACTCAGCTGCCAAAGGAATTTGGAAAAACATATAGATAGCATCAGTTGTAGCATACAACTTGGCAGACATCCTGTTAAAGCTCTGGTGTGTGTGGCACAACAGCATTTAGCCAAATGTTAGGAGCCCATCTAGTTTTGACTCAGCCACTTTAGTTCGCCTCAGCCTTGGCTGTCAGGGCTGTCAGAGACATGAGGAGATAGGGCTTGTGCCGGCGCCACTTGCAGTGGGCAGCCAGGAGCGGGGAAGCCTCGTCTCCAGGGAGACTTTCCCTGGCAGCACCTCAAATGGGGCAGGCAGTAGGAGATACGCTGGATGGGCTCTCCAACCAAGTCACGAAAAGGTTTCCACCAAAAAGTGGCAAAGAAAGTTTGGACGCAATGAACGGTCTCTGGTTCTGTGGGTAGATTTTGGGATAACTGCATCATGGCTCAGCACTGCTCACTGGGGCTCACTGCTGTTCCTTGGCTGGCTCGCTCTCTCCTTTTTTCTTTCACTGGCCATGTGGGATTACTGAAGACTGAGCAAGTCCTGCTCATTGTTTTGTCTTGACTTCATGCTTGACAGAAACATCCTCCAGAGACTGCAAATGGTTGCCTCTTTTTTATTTTCTCCATCAATTTCATAGTCCCCAGGAAAGGACATACATTGTATAGATCCATCAACCTTCATGTCCACTGTTTTTTTTTTTCAGTACTTTTTTTTCACTATCTGTAGTTCAGGTTTGGGTCCCTGTCTCAACTGATTTTCGTAGTTGTAGTTTGGATCACTGTCTTGGTCTACCTGTCTTCAGAGACAGTCTGGGTCTCTATCATAACCACCCACTCCAATAATATTGAACTGTAGCTCAACACACCTGGGCCAAGCCTCAAAATAGTGCTAGAAGCTGCTGGGTTTTATTTCAGAGAGCAAAATACTCTTCTAGATTTTTCTAGGTGGATGAATTCACTGAAGTTATTAGCTTGGTTCAGATCTCAAATCACACTCTATGTGAGAGGTGATAACTGCCTGAAACACCCACCCAAATACTTCCACACACCCTGCCACACAGGGACCACCTGCCTAGTGGCATGTTTTGCCTTCATCTCTCCCTGATGACATTGGATTCAGGAACCTGACAAGAAGCTGACAGTGTTAACAAAATCAAACAATTCACCTAAAAGTAATCACAGGTCTCAGGAACCTGAGCATCAAAAATACCCACATCAATCCTGAATTAGTAGCAGGGTATGTTCTCTTATCCTGCCCACCAGAAAGATACCCCAGCACAGTTAGACATCAATGACAGGCACATAGCCATTTTTTCTATTAGTGTGTTTCCAACCTCAGCAAAATAAAGAGCTGAGCAGTGCAGCAATTAAACTGTGTGACCCTCTTACAAGTCTGCCAATTAATAACTATTAGACTTACAAATTCAAAACTGCCTGACATTGAGTGCCAGGAAAGAACTGTGGGGGGTTCACCCTGTGTTGCACTGTGTTTAGTTTTTGTATTGTGTTGTTTGCCCTGTCCCCGTTTTCCCCCTTCCTTTGGTGGTTTTGCCCTAGGTTGCCTCCCCTTTCCCCAGATGTCAATCCGATCCCTATTCCACCCGAATCCCTAGAAATTTCCTTGTCAATGCTCAAATCCCCTCCCTGTCACCTTGTCTTTCACTCAGCTCCCCATCCCCTTTCTCTAAAAGCTTCCACGAAGGGTATTGAGTGGTTGGTCAAGGGCCAGCGGTCCCTCCTTTTAAGTTCCCTGATATGCTGTTGTGTTTGGCAGTTATTTCATGTTCCACTCCCCTCTATCCCCTCCTTGGTGGAGAGGCGAACCCCTCCCCTGTTTCCACCCCCCCAATAAAAGAAGCTGCTTCAGGCTCATCAGGGGCTTTTCAGAGTCATGTCCCCTGAAGCAAGGGGCTCCCTGGAGCTTCCAATAAACCTTGGATTTATACCCTCTGAACTGCCTACTCCCTTTCCTTTGCCATTGTAGGCTGCGTCTCTTCCGGGAAAGAGCTCATAACCCTTAGCTGCCCTCCTGCACTCCAGAGCGCAGGAGAGTGTCCCCTGTGGTCACAGTGTCTGAGCTGGCAGGGAGACACTGAGTGGTCACTCAGTGGGCACAGGAACAACCTTGGAAGGGCACCAGGTGTCCACCAAGACATTTTCTAACTCCC